TTTTTTTTTTTTTTTGTATCTTCATATCAATTTCTCTCAACAGGTTTACTATTTAATATACAATAGTGATATTTGTAACTTATTTCAAAGTGCAATTATTTTATATTTCTACCCAGTTACAACTTCATTACAACTTTTTTCTATTTTCTTCTGCCAACACGGTTGTGTTTGGTTATTCATTTTGGATTATGAATTCTGAATTCTAAGTTACCTCTTCAGATGTTATATCTTCTGTCAGCATATCTACACAAGCTTTAGGTGGGTCCTCGATTGAGGATTTATCGGCTTTACTCCATCAGGAGATTGATCATCCAATGATCTAACTTTCACCTGGCCTTGACTTGAACTTGGGGGCCCACACATTTTGAAATATGGTCTGCTGACTTTGGACAGATAAGACGTTATACTTTTATGTTTTTTAATATTTTTACTGTTAATATTATTATCTGTAGTTATTTGGGTTCAGTAACATAAGTTTAGTTAGATTGGTCAATACACATAGTCACGTTGAGGTTTGAAATTAGAGCCAAGTTGTATCCTTTGTCCTATAATGTTAGATTAGGCTTAACATAGATCTTTGTTACTTTAGAATTACCTGTAATACATCTTACTGGTATCTCATAAATTAGGTTAACTATATTATTTTTCTCATACTTATGTCATTGTCAATACACACTTACTTAATTTTACAATATAACATCTATTTCATTTTTGTATTATTTATCTTTAAAACTTCTTCATATTAGCTTTGTTTGTGTGAACCACTGGAGCTGGGGGTCTGCACAAACTTCTCCTGATATTACACGTATTATTGTTAGGTTACGGTTTTTAAATTAGAACTTAGTGATATTTTTTGTCCTGCACAGTTAAATTAGGCTTAACAAGTGTCTGTTATTTTCAGTTCATATTACGGGTAAATTAATAATTAGGTTAAATATCTTGTTTTCTTCAACACATAACATCTTATACATATGTTTATTTCACTTCACACTTACTTAAATTTATATTATATTGACTATTTCATTTTTCGTAATTCTTTATAATTTATACTTCTTACAACTAATTTCGTTTGTGAAGTCTCCTGTGGGCCAGGATCCACCCTACCTTTTCCTGATATTACTCACCTTCCTCCTACAACTGCCAAACCCATTTAGGATGACCTAGATTTTCTCAGTTTTTCATCCACCTGATTATGGCTTGCCTTCCCATGCCTCTACTGTGGAATCTGCTAGGCCTACCTCAGCCTTTAGTAGACACATTTCACAGTATAATTTTCCCCTTCTCCAGACATTATGGTTTGTGATGAGCATTTTTGAATCTCTTTTGGGAGAGGGTACTTGCATGCCTTGCTCTCCACAGGCTTCGGTTCAGTTTGCCTTAGCTTACCATCAGGTAGGTTTTCTTCTTGATTCTACTTACTTATAATCTCTGTCACCTGTATGGGGGGGGTCTCTGTTAATCCTATCCATTTTATCCCCCACCTGGTTTTCCAGCTTTGTCTTACCCTATTGACTTGTTTACAGGAAATGACTACCTTACACCTCCTTTCTTAGGCATTACATCTATATCTAAGGGATTTCCGTGGGATATCTCTTCCTCTTTCTCTCCATGTTGGGCTGTTTGCCATCTTCAGTTCTTTCCCTCCACATTTGGCTTCTTGGATTTTGAGATCTTCTTGGGCGGGACAGTGTTTTGTACTGTTTGTTTACCATCCACCTCTAATAGGGACATATGGTCAAGATTTTTTTTCTCCACTGGTCCATATTTTAGGGCTACTCCTATGCTTGTAGCATCATGTAGGGTATCTGCAACGCTATATTCTATCTCTTTTAGTTGCTCTTTTGTTTCATTCTGAGCCATTGCCATCTTTATTCATGTTCCATCTCCAGCACCTTCCTGTCTTACCTACGGGTTTCTCCATTTGTTGTGTATGCTTGATGTTGATTGTAGTTTTGGATCGATTGGTCCTGCCTCACTCACTTCTTGGTTCTTCTCCATTTTCAATATGTAGTCTTTGATCAAAATCAGGTGGGCGATTTCTGCGGGACTGAGAATGCCCACAGTACACATTCTTATTTTTCATTTCTCGGGATGCTATCTTAGGTTTTTCACCATGTGATTCGGTACTAGTTTCATGCCTTGCCCTTCGGACTTATTTCGGTTCTGTATGTTTTTTATCATATGATCTATGTTTTCCCCAACTTCCACATTTTGGGTGATTTTGCTAACACCATTACTTGGAAGTCTGGTTTTGGTTAGCTACTTCCAAACTGGGTGCTCATAACATGCTCACCTACTTCTTACACAAGCAGCTCAGATGGTTGAATTTTACAGTTGAACAAGTTTTTCCTGTTACCTACCTAACAATCTCGGCTATTTGGGAGTGTCTTTTTAAACACCCACCTCTGTTAGGACCATCCATTCGATGGAGCTTTCTGTTATCCACACCATTACAGTTCACTATCAGTGCAAGTGAGGTTCTACTGCATTGTGGGATGTGACTTCTATGGAAGCACTTCTCTCTTTGGGTCTGGCACATTTATGATCATTTCAGGAGATGCTGCATGACCCATAGTCTCTTGCTGGGTTCTTTTTAGCTTTCTTCCTTCCCTCTTCGACTATATGAGTTGGTGGTTGAACATATCCCCATAGTATCTTGCTGGTTTCCTCTTAGCTTTCCTACTTCCCTCTGTGACTATATGAGTTGGTGGTTGAACATATCCCCCCACATCATCTGGTTTACCGATTCGTCCCCGTTGTCCAGATTTGTTTCCTTGCCTGATGCTCATCTCCAAAGTTGAGGTCTTTGGGTTGATCAGCAGGAGGCTTTAGGATAATGGTCTCTGGATGAAAGATCTTACCATGTTAACACCGTGGCACTTCCAGCAGTCCATTGTGCTTTAGTTCACTTTCTTCCTTTTGTCCAGATTGAATAATCATGTTTAATTCCTACTATTCAAAGATGGTGGCTAATATCACTTGCCTAGGGGTCACTCTTTCTTGGTCCTTTTGTTGTAGACAGTGGATCTCCCTTTTTGAATCCACAACTTTGACATGTGTCATGTTCCAGGTGCTTTTGTCCTCATTGCAGAACACCTTTCCAGTTTTGACACACTTTCACCCAAGGAGTGGCCTCTTGATCCTCAAATTTTTGGTCCCTCTGCTCCCTGTGGGGTACTCCTTCATAGGAAGCATTTGAATCCTTTCTCGATACCAAGTTACCTCTTTCGTTTTTGGTTTGCAGTTCATCATCCACTCACCCTGGTTGTCAATATGTTCAGACAGGATTAGATGCAGTTTATAACTTTAGTTTTTGTCCTTCCAAAGGTGATTTTGATCATCCATTTCACTCTGGGTTAGATCTTTCTAATTTATCCTTTCTGGCCAGCACAGATCTGGCTTTCTCTGCTGCTTTGGATTTATTTTACTAACGTACACTTTGGGTGCTCATATGGCATATTTTTTTCGTCATTTTCATTTCTGCCATCTTCTACTTTTATTCTCAGTCAGATCTGGATGACCTGCTCTGTGTTGTTTCATTCCCTTGCACCACTCTGTACATGATTTTTTCCCTTCCTCCCATAGCCATTGGGTTCAGCTTGCCTCCTTTTTCCCCATAATAAATTCCTAGTGTCTTCACTCCATTCAGACACCTTACCTTTTACCCCCATTTCAACCTCATTGTCCACTGGAGGTACTTCATCTGTCGAGCACTGGGACTACACCTCATACATTCATCTCCCATTATCTGATTTGGGTAGCTGTTTCTTCCTTGTCAGAATACCATCTTCTACCTGTCACCATCTTTCACTCTTTGGTGAGACTATAACTAGGTAAGTTTCACTTTTGTTATATATATTACTTTTCAGGGGCCTGTCCCATGTTTTAGTCAGAATCCCACTCTGTGGTGAGTTGTGCTTGTCCAGGTATACTTTAGTCACTTAGAATTGTACTAAAACATGCACTGTAAGGCTATTTTGACTTCAATTTCATATTTTCCATGGCCACAAAATACACACTGTTCATTACAA